AGTAGTAGACGCAGTAGTAGTAGTAGTAGTAGTAGTAGTAGTAGTAGTAGTACTAGTAGTGGTGGTGGTGGTGGTGGTGGTGGTGGTGGTGGTGGTGGTGGTGGTGGAAGTGGTGGTGGTAGTAGTAGTAGTAGTAGTAGTAGCAGTAGTAGCACTGGCAGAACTAGTAGTACTAGTAGTACTCGTACGTTTAGAAATATTAGTAGTAGAAGTAGTAGTACTGTACTAATGTTAGACGAAGTAGTACTACAAGTGGCACTGGTAGTCCTACTCCTTTCCTACTCCTCCTCTGTAGTACGGGCACTTAGGCAGCTGGTTTGCTACGTTGCAGCACGTACATCAGTCTATCACTCTGAGTCATCCTCCGCCGACCCCACTATGCGGACTGATCATGGCGAGGGCCTTTAATTTAATACTGCCTTTGCTCATCCCGACCAGTAGTAGCCTTTCCAAACTCACGAAGCATCTCATGCACTAGCACGACCTGTCACAAGCTCAGCCTCACGGGCTCAATCGACGGCTTGCCTCTTAAAGACACCGCACAACTCCTAAAGCTTGGTATTTCGTATCTCAAGATTCGAAACCAAGTTGTGCTTCGGTACCTTGAAATGCCTTCCGATGCGAACCGCAAGGAATGGCCTTGTGCACCTACACGAATCCTCTCTGTGTCGGTGAACACCTGACTGAATCCCCCTGGGTGCGCGGCCCACAATCGTTGAGGGTCCCAGCTCGCCACTGTACATTCGGTTACCAACAAGCTCAATGATACCTCGTGCATGAGACTGCGCCCTATTGAGGGGATTCGCAACCAGTACTCGAGTACACCATAGCTTTTCGCGGGCTTAATCTACCCTTCTTTGAATGAGTGTCTCTGTCCACTGTTGGTCCTTCAAACTCCAACCATTGAGACACAGATCAGGCAGCAGCATAGCGCTAAAGGGGGATCGCGCTTCCCAATCTATGGAGTCCCGATATGAACATCCCAACCCCGAAGGTTTCGACTAAAGAGGGTGAAGCCATCTCAAGCATTCCAGGTGATTGTTCAATGTGGGTGGGCCTCCTTTCTGTCGAACGCGCGCAACATGTGATGATCTGGTTGGTCGACTGTAAGGTGATTACTGCGCTCTCTTCACGATTGCGCAGGCAGCAGCACGAGCATGTGCATAGTTGTCGTTGACTCGACGACATGCAGCCCCATGCTTCGTCAAGAATCAGAACCAGGCCAGAAGACTCACAGAACAACATATGAGCCCTACTGCCGACGGAGAGAGTTGCCAGCAGCCGCGCCCTCCAACAGACCCAAACTGTTCAGCATCCACGAAGCAAACGTGCCAAAAGTGCCCAAGCAGGGAATGCAATGGCGGGTTTCGAGAGCCTTCAAACTCCCCGGCCTTGTCTCCCTAAGAGCCTCGAGCCACCGGGTGGGCTAGTTCTGCATCGTATGTTGAGAGAGACAGTGGAACAATGTGACTCATCTTTCAGGCCCCCGAGAGCGGGACTTAGCAAGATCTCCGGCGCTGAAGAACCAAGTGCCATCAGGGTCAGATTGGCAACCTCAGGTCCGACACGCGCCTGGGAGTTGCGCACTGGCTGTAAGACTTGCTGGGTGTGCTCGGCTCTCCTTGTTGGATTATGGACTTCGGACCACATCAGGACTAGAGGCTAGCAAGGCTTAGCACAATTGCATTGCCACGAGCATGCGAGGAACGGGCATGCGAGGAATTTGAGTCTCATCAGGTGTAGGTCTTCTACACCATGCATCACCATCCGCTGTCACATAGAGTGAACACCCTGAAGTGCTGTCACAGCTTCGCAATGCAAAGACTTTAGGCATGGCTGAACACACAACCTGCCTTCGGTCGGGTTCAGAACGGGGCCCAGACTTAGAACTTAGACCACAATCAAGATATGTTGCTTTTGCTTGGGTCCGCACTGTTGCATTCCAGACCTTAACCCTCACCTGAGCACAGAGAGCGCGAAGCTGTATCTGCAATTCCGTCCTGAGCGCGGAAAGTTGAACATCCGAGAAATACGAAGTCGTGTGCTGATTATACCATCTTTGGGGAATAATGCACCGTTCTTTGCGGTGTGCGAGAGAAGCTTTTAGGACACCTGACTGTAGGCGGTTTCATCACGGGTCAGTTGCTCTAGTTGCTCTATTCTTTAAACCAGTTGGTGCGGCATCATTTATCCTTGCATTGCCTTTGACGAACAACTGCTCCCATTTTCTCAAGCCTCACAAAAAGCGCAGCTATCGACATACTACTTTGCGCACAGAGACCGCAGATATTTGGCCCGTCGGGACCTGATCACTGAATCATTGAATCATGGGATCAGGAGTTGGATTTCTGGTCCAAGCATCCCGAAGCTAGGGCACTCGCAAAGTCACCCGTGGTCGGATTCATCTTCTTGGTGGTCTTCGCCTGAGGACCGTGAGCTGGCTCGGGCTTGACGCCGGTGCTCACAGAACGAAGCTCGGTCTGCCCTCGTTCGGGGCCATGACCGTAATTTCCTCGATGGAGCTCATGAAGATGTCCGACACCTCGACTCGTTTTTGGTGCTTTTCAGGTCATTTCCGAGGTGCACTACGCCCCTTCCACACGACTGCAACGGCAGCGGCAGCCATGCAGGAGAGGAGATGACTGGGCCCCCCGCAACCCCGACGCCGCAGAAGAGGTAGCCCAGGCCCAGGAAGTAGAGCACTCGCCGGAGGTCCCTGAGCCGGAGGATTCAAAGCGCGGGAAAAACATCAGAGAAGTGGAGTTCTCGTCCCGTTCTCTTCACTTCTTGCTGACAGTGCACAGTCGCAGCAGACTCTAGGACTCGAGACTCAATCGCACCAGTTTGGCGAATTTGCAGGCTTATGGGTGACCTGACCATACCGTCATGACTTTGAGGAACAACCTATCTTCACTAACTTAACAGTGGTTTTGGTCGTGATGCTATATCACTGTTAGAGCTTTGGGCTGATGGGGCTGCTGCTTTGCCAGAACAACCTAGATCTCAAAACCCTCACTCTTTCATGCCTTCAGAAACCTCCCTGCTCGAGGTGGGCTCTGATGCCACTGCCCCTAATCAGGCTATAACGGCAAACCACCCCCTCATTAGCCGATGGCCGTGGATCACATTTAATCACCAACCGATGCAAGTTGATACCATTTCTTAAACTCCCCCCCATCAATTGGCCAGCAGTGGATCCCAGTCTTTGCATCTGCACCGTCGCTCGATCCCATTTCTTAAACCGCCGCCTCATTAGGCGATGGTGGTTGATGCTTGCCAGCTGCTGGCAGGCTGTGGCTTGCTCGCTTGCCTTCTTGCTTGCTAGATTGCTGGCTTGCTAGCTTGCTGGCTTGATGGCTGACCTAGCAACCAAAATCAAATACCAAAAAACGATGGGATCCGGTGGAAAACTATGAAAAACAGTACCACCACCCCTGCTTTGGGCCGGAGAAGCTTTTCTTTTCCTGGACATTCATCTCAAGGCCCCCGCAAATTCCAGGACCACTCATCTTTGAAAAGAGGCAGGAGCACGCCTGTCTCACCTAGAGCTCACGAACAACTTCCGTTTCCGCAAACTGCTCCGTTGAGCTCAACCGGTTCTTTTGCTTGGTTACTCGGAACAAACTGAGCGCCATGCCACCTTCTATACGGCACCAAGGCACCTTGCAGTGCCAACCGCGAGTTTGATAAGGCAAGTTGAGCAAGACTCAGGCTTCGTAAGATCATGACCTGCCGTTTGCGATCGTGGAGGGAAAATGCACGTGCCCGTCCCACAACTTGGAACCCTCTGCTCAACTGGCCTCAGCGGCCATGCGACTGAGAGCGCCTCAATTTGGGAAGCAAACCGACATGCAAATTAAACTTTACGATACGAGCCTAGCAACCAATGTCTGCATGCAGCACGAAGCGATTTGAAATCACCCGCTTTGGGTTAGTGGCGGTAGAACACTTAATTGTGACTTTTTCTCTCTTAAATGTAACTTTCCAGCTTTCTCAGCGGAGCGAGCGACTAAGTTGTAACTTTTTCCGGATCCAAAAGCAGCAAATCTCTGCGAAGGGCTGCAAAACTGGCATCTTAGTGATAACTTTTCTTGGTGTCTTCAGCACCAAGCTACTAACTTTTATGGTGTGTTTGCTTCTTCTGGCGTGTTTAGCACCAAACCACATTGTTTGTCCCGTAGTTCGCACCAAACCAGAACCGTCACACAAGGTTAAACTAGGGTTTTCTCTTGGGTAAAGGGTTCTCGCTGGATTCGCTCTTTAGGGTTTTCATCTTGGGGAAAAGGTTCTCGCTGGATTCACTCCTTAGGGTTTTTCGTCTTCGAGAAAAGGTTCCCGCTGGATTCGCTCTTTAGGGGTTTCGTCTTCGGTAAAAGCTTCCTGTTGGATTCACTCATTAGGGTTTTCGTCTTGGGTAAAAGGATCTCGCCGGGTTCACTCTTTAGGGTTATCAGTGAGCATAGCACCTTGATGTAAGGCTGTCGAGCGGCTTCAAGTAGGGGCCTGGCGAGTGGGGAAGTTGAACTAACAGCCACCTCGAAGCAAGAGAGTCTTCTCGTTTAGCATCAAGCCACATGAAAGTGGTTAGCGAATGCCACTGCTAAGAAAGGCTCGCAGACGCCTTTTTCTACTCTCCGCAGCCGTGCTGGCTCTGATGCCCGAGCGCCAGCCCTGACGATGCACACGTTTAAAGCTCACTCTCGGTTTCCCTAGTACTTGCACCAGTCATATTCCTGAGCTTTTCAAACGTGTGAAACTCCGGATCTGGAAGCTCGTCCTCTTCATGCCAGGGGGAGTTGCTCGACTCCGCGATCTGCTGTACAAGGTTGATAAACTGTATTTCAACCTCGCGGATGCGCTTCTCTTGCTCACGCTTGGTGCGCTTTCTACCTGCAGTAAAGGCAGGATCGAAAACAAGCCGCCATCGCTGTTGATCTGCCAATAGTCGAAGAAGGATTCCACGAGCTTTTCCTTTTGTCAACCCGTCGGCCAACTGCTCAGTGCCTGCAACCCATCGAAGATGTGTGCCGGCGGAGATGGCCTGTTTGACGGAAAAGGTAAGCTCGTATCCAGCTCTGCTGCTCCGCAGTCCATGTAGCGACGAGCAGTTCCGAGTCATGGCATCAAAGATCCCCTTGGAACCATCACGAGGGCGCCCACCGTGTTGTCCTTCACCATCCGAGCTTGCTCACCACGGATAGGTGGGTGACCATGAGCCTCCAACCAAGCACATCGAACCAGGTAGGTCAAGTCTTCGACGATGGTGATGGTTTGTACTTCAGACCCGTTGGATCCCAGGACCTCACGAGGGGCTTTCGAAGATTTCCAAGATACGATGTTCATAGGAACAGCTTGTCCATCCAGGATCTCTCGAGGAGCGAGGCACGTGAGCACGCCTATTGTGCTCCCTTTGTTCGGGCGATTATTCTGGGCTGCGTCCGGCAATCAGGTCCTTCCAGTCTCTTCCGAAAGGATGGAAGATGAGCGTCTGCTCAGAGTTCCTCTTGACTTGCCGGACCAACTTGTTCACCCTCAGCAAGGTGTCCACCGTCGCGGTCGGAATCTCGCTGAGGAGGAGTCCAACCTCCGCCAGGTATTGTGGTGATACCTGGTGCGCCCGCCATGACACCGTACCCAAGGCACCGCGGATGTCACTGATCTCCTTCGGCGTGGTCTTGGACTTTGTCTGGGATGCCCGTGACGAACGGATCACAATCTCCTCAACCCATGTTTCCGTGTAGGACCTCTGATCAAGAAAGATGGTCCCGTCTTCTTTCTGGGTGAGGTTCGCGCCCGGAAACTCAAAGTTCTTCTGTTCCCATCTGCCCCATTCGAAAGAGCTCAGGTGCTCGGCCTTGGCTCGTTCAAAGGTCTCGTCGCCCTTGCGTCTTCCAATCAAGAAGTCATCTACATGGAACCCGGCGACACCACACAGCTCGCTGGCCTTGTTCACTAGGATGAAGAAACACTTGTCAAACTCCAAGGGCCGCCAGCCGGACTTCCGAAGTGTGGCAGTGACCGTATCATACCACGATTTCGGAGCACTGCAGAGTCCATAGAAGGCACGAGTCAACTTGAGCACTGTTGAGTCCTCCGTGCCATCGGCGCCATACGCTGCTGCAAGCTCTGCCGGGGCGTACACGAACAAGTCCTCCTTCTCCATATCCTGGAGGCTTTGAAGGAAGGCGCTCGACACATCAGCGCTCTCCAACATCCAAGAATTGTTGGCAACGATGCTCAGGATGAGCATCTTCCCAAGCTTGCTCAGCGTGGGAGAACTGGCCTGTGACTCCACCAACGTAGGAGACTGGTACCCCAAGACCACAAGTCTGGCCTTGGCCCGTCCATCCGACTTGAAAGTGAGGACCCAGCGCATCTTCATGATGCGACGGATGTCCAGCTTCTCCTTCTCCTTGGCCGCTAGAGCTCTCACAGCACAGTTCCGAATGACATTCGAGATCTCCTTTGCCATGGCACCGTCAAACTCCTTCTTCTTGTCGAGAGTCAGAGATGACCAACTCACCTCTCGACCTTTGTCCATCATCTTCTTCGACAACCAGAGCTCGGCATGTCTAGGCTTGTCCAGTAGCTTCTTGAAGTCGCTGAACAGACGTGTCGTCACCAGAGTCCTCGATGGGGATAGCCGTCGACGTCCTACGATCAAACACAAACTTGTTCCCACCGGCATCTTCATGTGGTAACCTATGTCCTCCAGGCAGTGACAACCAGGTACGGGACAACTACTCCAACGGCTGGACCTCGTGGTGTACCTGGTGGCGGTGTACCTGGGACCAGTGAACCTGGAACATCATTCTCTAAAGGACCCCAGGAGATTCCCGCTGAGATCGTGGTACAGCGGAATGATCTAACATCACTGCTGGACCCAGCCACAGGTCCATCTCGTTGTGACTCACTTCCAGCATCTCCTCGATGTGAGGAAGGGACCCCCGGTGGAGATTCCCGTTGAGATCGTGGTACAGCGGAAGGATCAGACCGGGCCTTCTTGGCGGACGGATGGTCGGCCATGATTTTGAAACGAGTTTCCCCCGGTCCAACGATCCAGCATGCATCGTGCTGGATTCTCATGAGTTTTGAAGTTGTCCTCGATCACCTGCTCGTTGTCACCACTCTTGACCAAGGTCTTGCGTTCCCCAGTCAACTCATCCTGAGGAATCGGGACGTTCCATGGTTTTCCCCGCAACGAACCCGGTAAGACGGGGAGTGACGTGACGTCGAACCAACCATTCTCCTTGCGCTTCCCAGAAATCGTCACCGGCTCGACGGGGTCGAGGAGCTACTCGAACTTCAGCTTGCGCAGTGTCCTCGAGAGCTTCACGAGGAGGTTGAGAACCACTGATGTCCTCGAATTGTTTGCCACGAAAACCCCGAAGAAGGTTGTCAACCGTGACTGGAAGTCTGTACACTGCGTCTCCGTTCGTTATGGCGACTGCTTCTTCAGGTCGGGTGCATCGGCGTAGTTGATTTGCTTTTGCGCTTATTATCGCCGCGCCTGAGGCCATCCAATACGTGGATCCTTCACGGAGCAAGATCCGCAAGCCATCCTCCGCGACCTCCTGACCTCTTCTCTCTCCACATCATCACTAACGAGCCGACCTCGAAAGATTGGGGAGGTCTCGAGGTCGTGTTGTTCAATTTTGTAAGTTGGTCTGCTGCGTGAGCTCGTCGATAAGCCACCGAGGCTTTCTCCCGGAACTTCAGCACCTCATCAAAGGCCTTTCTGGGGTTCAAACCTTCCGGTACTTGATCAAAACGGCATGGCCCCTCGAACCCATTGGAAAGGACTGTATCCGGAGCTGGCCTGAATGGTGTTGTTGTGGGCGTGACACGCATAATGAAACATCGTGGCAACAGCCAAGTCCATATCTTCCTTCATCACGCGGTCAACTGTGGCCTTCAGTCGCCCAATCATGACTCATGAGCCAATGGCATTCAGGAGGGGCAATCAGCAGACCCATTCCACTCTTTCCACAGCAAACCCTCATCTCCTCCGACACGTAGTACAAGGCCGAATCGGCCATGAGCCACTTCGGAGCAGGGTTGTGCATCATCCGGTCCCTGGTAAACATCCTGATGACGTCACTGGTGGTTGGCTCCCAGGCGTCCGAATAAATCTTCATGATGGACACGGCGCACAGTCGGGACGCCCTGTCCACCCAAAGGCATCCCTTCATCTTCTTGAGCTCGCCTTCGGAATTCTTGTAGGTGTACTCGAAAACGTCAGTACCCACAATCTCGTAGAGTCCAGGCGGGGATGTGGACGCCGGAGGAGATGGCAGTGGCTTTGAGGATTCGATGCACGCTGGGCATTGGAGACCCCGGGCCATGGTCACAGCCCACGCAGGTGCACCTCGTCGTTGAAGAAGCTTTGCCAAATTCGTGAAACTCGTGTGTCCTAAGGCCCGGTGCAGCCTCATCATGATTTGTCTAACTTCATCAAGTCGCCTTCCGGTAGGAGGTCTTCAGGAAGACGATTTCGGGAGAGGGCAAGGATTTCCGAGGTGTCCTCGGATGGTGGTCTCCATGGTCTCTCGAACCATTTTACCTCCAACATCATCACCTCCACATCTTCAGACAAAGGCCTAATACCATACTTGGCCTGGATGCTCCATGCCTGCGAGGGCATTCTCTTCTCCAGAGCACGAGGACACCAGCTTGGGTCGGAGCAATGCTCCTCGAAATCGCCAAGTTGGCTGGTCCCGTCCTCGTCGTGATCCATGATCCCGCAGCGACTCATTTTCTCCAGGAGAGCTGATTTCTGCTTCTCCAGTCGTTTCTCCAAGGCGAGGATCTCCTGCAGGTTGGTGTGGACCTCGCAGTCCTCCAGATCGATCAGGGACTGCTCCGGAACATCCACCGAGGAGGAAGAAGGGGCTGCCATTGCCCTTTTGGTGTTGCCTTCCGAAGCGCATCGCTGTCCGGATGCCCGGCATTCTTCCTTTCCACGCACGTCGGCGGCATCCCCGGCGTCATCATCGTCTTAGGGGCAGCCGGCGGTCGTCTCGTTGAGGTATCCTGTGTCTCCGGGTCCGCAGTGTACTTGCTCATGGGTTCCGACAGCACCACGGACCGTCCCTCCTGTCGCATCCGCCCGGCGATCTCCATGCACTTGTCCCCAACGAGCTTCTCCGTCACCTGGTTGGCCGGAAGCTCCACGCGATCGCCGTGGCCACTACCTCGGGAGACGGCCCAGCCGAGCATACTGATTTGATTTCCGTGCCCCTTCCTTGTGCTCGCCCACGCACGGCCAGCCGGACCATCTGGGATCGTCGATCGGAAACGGAAGGAGCTGGAAAGGGCCGCTCATGTTGGCGTTCGCGAAGACGATCAAGCTTGAGCCTGAGAGAACACATCCGTGAATGTGAATCATGCTCTTCACGATCTGAGGTGTAGCTGGGGAGGATCGGGAAGGCATATGCAACACGCTGTTCACAGAGAGACTCTGAAGCTGCACACTGACATGTCTGTGAAGCTCTTCCATGGCACAACTTGATCGCACACGGCTCCTCAGCAACCCCCGAACAACTGTTTTCCATGGTCGGCTGCATGATCTGTAGCGCCGCACCGATTCCGGGTGCAGCATCATCCTCGTCGGTTCCCGGTGTAGATCGACCGGAACCTCGCCGACATTCATCGGAAAAAACTGGTGCTCTGAGAGTATCCTGCACAGAGCCACGGTCCCCTGGGAAAACAACACCGAGCTTCTTCTCTGGATAGTCCTGCACTGGTCCAAGAGGAGTGCTACGCATGGCCAAATCGACAACCATGTGCCCGCCTAAGGTCGACACCAGCGGCAAAAGAGCAACTTGCCCTCCCCGGCGAAGGAACATCAGGGTCTCGTCCCCGTAGTTCACCGTTGCCTTGAGCTGCCTCAAAGTTCGCCCGCCGAGAAGAAGAGGAGTGTCCTGGGAGGTTGGATGATCGAATATATACACTGACACCATACCAAGCGCCGGGGTGTAGAGGTCAACTAACCGAAAGGTAGGGCGATCATCCAAAGACACGTCGTAGCGGCATTTCGAGGCCTCCAAGAAACGTTCCAAGAAACGTTCCATAGTACGGATCCCGCACGCAGACTCCGTGGCTCCGGTGTCCACAATGACTTGGCTGGCCTTCATCCGCCCGCCAAGAGCTTCTTGACCCACGGAGAGCACGAAGGAGTCGGCCAGGGGCATCTCCGGAACGTACTCATAGTCCTCGTCGGCCACCACGGAGAGCAGGAAGGAGTAGGCATAGCCGGCGTCATAGAAGTACTCCCCGCTGCCCTTCGACGGTCCTTTCTTGAAAACCCTTTTTCCCGGAGCCTTTTCCTCGATCTCGACACTCCCAGTATCTGTGCCCTAAACGACCACAAGCTGTGCACGGTCCTCCTTTGCCAGAAGACTTTGAGCCTTTAGGTCGTTGCCCGGGCTGTCGAGGAGGTCCTGCAGACGACGGGGAGCCCTTGCCCCCGGAAGGATAATATCTCCTTGCCTGTCTGGCTTTCGCCACAGCATCTCTCGCTTGTTGCAGCGTCTTCTGTGCCTTCTCGGCGACGGCGAAAGCCTCGGCATCGTCCTCCAACAGGGCCTTCTCCTCCTCGTCGAGAGGTCCATCGGCTCCCGGACCGCCAAGAGGTTCTGGAGGATCATGGCCAGCAGGGGCATAAAACGCCCAGTCATCATAGGAGGAAGGATCCCCCCATTCTTGGTAGTCGTCATTCCAGTAGGCGTCCTCATTCTCAGGCTGTTCATCCCATTGCCAATCATCCCAGGAACCGTCGTTGTAGTAGGCTTCCTCGTCGAGCCACCAAGCATGGCGATGTTTCCTGGAAGGATTGGCAAGGTCAGAGGTTATACCCTCATCGAACATTGCTCTCAAGGCCTGCCGGATAGCCTGGAAGGTCGTGCTGTTGCTCGTCAGCGTCGGCACATGTTGTCTCTCGGACGGCTGGAGGCCGCAAGCTTTCAAGAGCCGGTAGCCCCGAAGCTCATCTTCACAAAGAGGCCGAGGGAACTCGAGGTGGTCACCTTGGTGGTCTTCGTCCTCGCTGACGACGTAGGGGAGGTCTCTGAAGGTGCCTTCGGGGTAGAAGGCTTCTTCTCATCATCCTTGGCCTCCTCCGTCTCGTCCTCGTTGTCGTCCTCGGCGCCCTCTTCGGGAGAGGGTTCCTCGAAGAGCACCTTGGGAGTGGTGCTCATCTTGCGAGCCCTCTGAAGACTCTGCTGCAGTTCCACGAACAGCTCCTCCTCGCGCACAAGAAGCTGTGGTATCGTCTCGCCGTGTCTCTTGTGCAAACTCGACCATCTTTCCAGTCTCTGAAAACTGTCTGGCACAGGAAGTCGTTGTAGAAGGCTGTTTCGTAAAACATGCAGCAGCTTCTCGAGGCCGCTGTTGGTGCTGTACACACTCGGATCTAGATTGCGAACAACAGTCTTGGCTGAGCCAACCAGGCGCTGCCACACTCGAGGGGCTGCCAAAGACTTCGCAGAGGGCTTCAGGGAGTGCTGGAACCACCGGCACTCTGTTGCAAACCTCTCGAAGGTGCTCGGATTTCCGTCCCAGGATGGGACCTCATTGTCTTTTCCATGAAACGCCATTTGGCCCTTGGGCGCGGACAGGTAGCCGAGGATCAAGTAGAAGACCTCGTGCCACTGGCCGCCAGATCTCCTTCAGGAAGGGCCTGTACGTGTAAAAGGCGAAAGCCCCAAAACCCAAACAGGTCTCGAAACCCTCGAAGAACTTCGAGCACCACGGAGCGAAGCACAGATGAAAGCTAGAGCCCCTGGATCACCAGGAAAGCTCCGCTGCCATGAAAGTGGCTAGCGAATGCCACTGCAAAGAAAGGCTCGCAGATGCCTTTTTCTACTCTCCGCAGCCGTGCTGGCTCTGATGCTCGAGCCCCAGCCGTGACGACGCACACGTTTAAAGCTCACTCTCGGTTTCCCTAGTTTTTGCACCACGCTTTTCTGCTTTAGCCTCAAGCCACGCGCGCATGGTTGTGTGAAAGAGCTCGTTCCCTCCTCTTGCGCCAGGCCTGACTGCGGGTTGGTTGGGGGTAGGTGGGGTAGGTGGGGGCGGGGTAGGTGGGGTCGGTGGGTTAGGTTGGGCAGGTGGGGTAGCGAGGGTAGGTGGAGTAGGTAGGGAAAAGTTACGTCTAACAGAAAAAGCTATATCAAAGAGAACAGAGCTACAACTTAGCCTGCTACCTTGCTGACTGCTCACGGGCTTGTGACCTTACAGATGTGACAACAAGTCGCGAGCAAAGGTGCCCAGAATGGGAGCACAGCGAGCCGATCTCCAGAAACGCTGGCCGCTGTTCTTTCTAGACCCCTAACCTTGCAGTGCAGTCATCCCTTAAGAATATTGTTGCTCCTTCATGCTTCGAGTACAACCGACTGTAGCTTCTGCAATGCAACGGTGAGGTATGTGTCTGGGATGCTTGCCATCTGGTGGGCATCTTTTGTACTCATGGAAGCCCTTGATCAGCTCTGAGAGTTAAGGCGGCATGCGGCGCAATCGTGGTGGCACACAACCATCTCAGCACAGTCCCGATGTCTTCAACCCTTCGGCTTCTCATGCTGCGAAAATGAAATCCGTGAGCAAGGCACTGCCGGTTAGGGCTTAGGATTCCTTAAACCCATCACTCATACAAGGAGATCACATGAACGAGAACACGTCGGTTGGCACAAAAAACAGTTTGCCAAAGCCATGGCAAAAACTGCCTGAGGCACCGGAACGCCTGGCTTGGTTTTGCTTCCTGGCACGGGAAACTTCCACCAATTCACTGGCAACCCAGGCTGCACCAGGACACTGACATGCGAACACAGGGAAGGATCAGCTATGCTTGCGGGTCGTCCGCAACGGGGCTTTTGGAAGCTTTGCCGAACATCTTGTTCGATCTAATCGTCTAAGCTTTCTCTTCTGTACTCAGAATTCATTTGCAGGGAAGGAGAGCGGAGGGAGGAAGACAGGAGAGGGACGGAACAGGAGGGATAAAGGAGGAAGAGATGAGCGACGAGGAGAGCGACAGAGACTGGGGAGGAGGTCGGGAGGTGCTGGGTCCCGCGGCGCATGACTGAAAATGCATGAATCAACCAACTGCGGCCAAAAGAAGAGTCGTAGCCATCCCCTGATTGTTGGCAACGCCCGACTGGGGCCAGACGAGCGCGTTTAAACGCACATTGAGAGCATCTGATCCGCAACGCTTTCACTCGCCAAAGCTTCACTGCCTGTCAGTAACACACCTTGGACTCATCCTGCCGGTTACATGAGCACGTCAGCAGGCGAAGACCTCTCTGTGTGTCTACCGCCGGTGCATTACTGAGTCAATCAAACGTGTAACCCCGAATCTGAGGCCATGTGCGCAACACCCCCATTCATTCTGTACCTGCTTACTGACACGGACATCAGACGTAGTTGGCGCTAATACCTTCAGCACCATCTGTCGTGCCTTGCTGTGGAGGTGGAGTAGCCTGCACAACTGAAGATGCGCAGGTTTCTGGCTTCCGTCCCCAGGCTCACCACATAGACACGAATGTCATCTTTCCGGGGAATCCTATGCATAGAAGCCCCTAGAAGCCCCTCAACCCTAGAATGCTGCAGACCCGCCTTGGCTTTCGACGCTGAAGCCTTTACACCCTCAGGCCGCGGGCCGCGAGCAGCCGGCGCAGGCTGCAGGCCAGGCTTGCAGATTAAACTCAAATCTTGTCGCTTTCCTGTGGGGATGGCGTCAAGCGGGCTCACTTGCAGAAGCATCCCGATCACGGCCTCTCGTGCACCAAAACATCTTTCGAGGCGGCAGCTGAGTCGCTGAGAGCCAGTGAGTTGACAATTATGACGCCTCTCCTTCTCTCCGGACGGCAGGCAAAAGGCGCCAGGCCTTCTGCTTCGAGGGAGAGGGAGCAGGACGTGACCTGGGAGAGTGCGACGGAACGCAGTGCCGGCTCGACGGGTTTGTGGTCCAATCCTGAAGATTGCCACAAAAATCGAGTCGAGATGGGACGGGTGCCTATCCGACAGCCTCCCAGCCGCCCTCGAGTGCACAAATCCACACTGATCGAACAGCTTCCTGACTGCCCCTTTCTCTATCTCTAGCATAATTTCACAGCACCGAGACTTGAAAACAGCGGCAGTTATCGTCTTCTACTTCTCGTGCTCACTCGATGCGTGGTAGGCCTGACCATGGTGTGACCACAAGACCGCTGGTCATCAAAGCCCGACTGTGATACACAGAACCATCCTACCCAGACAGGTTATGATCGTTATGTCCACAACTCCGCTCTGTTGAAACAGCTCTTGTGAAAGCTGGGTGTATTTCCAATGCAGCGGGGAACTATGGACATCCGGTCGGCGAGGTGGGGGTGAAGTTCTTGAGGAGGGCATCTGAGACTTGAGCTTCTCCTCCGGTAGCATCTTCTCCTCGGCCTCATGCCGAGTTGCAGAATCAAGAGTGCAAATTTGCGCTTGGATGAGTTGGCTGCGCTGCACTCATATCATGATATGGTGTCCCAAACGGCCATGGCCATGGAAAGGAGCTTGCATGTCCCGCATCCGGCCCCCCACCTTGCGAGGCCGGCCTGCTTTGCCAGCCTCGTGGCAAAGGGATAGGAACAGCTCTGCGTGCCACGGGCGCTGGAGCTGGACTGTCAGCATTTTAAGTCCACTTTCTTCCGGGTGACAAACATCGGGAAGCAAACTGCAAGACCCCACTGACGGCCGAAGTGGTCGCAGAAGATGTGCCTCATGGCCAGGGCTGGGAGACCTGCGGCAAAGGCCGGAGGAGAGGCCGACAGTGGAGATGCGCCCATGTGTTGCACGAGGAAGGGATGGAAGAGCTCTCTCAGCATTTCCACACAGATTCACCGCCCGGGGGTGCCTGGAAGTCTCCTTCTTCACAGCGACCTTGCAGCCGGTCAGCCAATCACACTTTCAGGTCTGATACAAGGCCTTTGCCACTTCAACCCATGCAACATGCTCGGGTATCACAACTGCAGCTCCACAACAGGGAGCCCCAGAATATCCCAAGAATGACTGCCAAAAGGACTGCAACCTGACCGCCTGCATTCACGATGCAGACGGGCCAATATTCACCTGCTTGACTAAGCGTGCCACGAGCGAGTCTTCCGCCTTCGACACATGGGCGGAATATGCTTACAAGACGCCCACCAAGAGCGCATTAACCACCCATCCTTCTGGAAAGGCGCAAAGTTTGCAGGTGCTTTCAAAAGCTTGCCCGACTGGGAAAACATTAACTCAACCGAATCTCTGGTGCAAGCGAGATAACGGCCCCGCCGGCCTGTGCTTGCGGTGGGGCTCGGCTGGCACCTAGTTTCGGGATGTCCCCTAAACTTGGGCACAATCTGCTGCACCTTGCAAAAAAAAAACAACATCTCACGGCCCTTGGCCCTTAACCTGCCAAGAGTGGAATGCCTGCAGGATTGAGACTTGTAAAGACTCGTGCCCCGGAAGATTCTCCAAATGATGAGGGCGGAAAGGGACAACGAAAGGGGACTGTACAACTTTATGTTCCGCATGCATAGCTTTTATGTTCCGGGGAGCCACAAGGCTTCATGCATCCGAAAAGGGATGTGCTGTCACGACTCTTGACGGACCATGGCCTCCAAGGTCCCGGGTGCTTGCAACCGTTCCCTCGCTTGGTCCTATGTTTCACCGAACTGTCTGCAACCTGAGCTCCAACTTAGCCTGCGCAAGATGTTTTAACATCCCGTCGCTTGAAGGGCTGGTAAACCAGTATCACAACAATTCAGCGCAACACCAGGTTGGTGTTGTCAAGCATCATGAATTCAATTAGTGTCCACAAGTCACAGAACCTTCCCCTATTCAAGCAATACTTTCAACATCTAGAAGTAGTCCGGAAGGCCTGCGGAAGGCGTTGGTGCCTGCTGTGGGTGCTGGAGTCAATGCACATCATGCGTAAGATAGTGGTCACCTACCAAATCTACACTGGTCGAAAGCTAAAGAGGTAAGCCGCACACCGGTCCGGATAAAGCTGCAGGGTTGGGGGAGGATGGGGGCGGAAGAAGGGTGTGCGAAATCGACAACCACAAGCACAAGCGTTGAATTCGCAAGCCTCATGTTGAAAACTCAAAAGTTGCACCTTGGCTTTGGCCTTCACCTATGCAGGAGTCACAATGCAGAGAACATGCATATGTTGCATGGTGGTACCCTAACACTTTGCTCAATCCATCCGATGCAGCAATGATGCGCACCTAACCGAAGACTACAATGAAAGACTGAAGCAGCCGAAGTGACAGCGAGCATGCGATGTTTGACAGCTGGAGACAGGCATGTGCTGCGGAACATGCAGCATGGATATGTACGTGTACGCGTCTTTGTGCGTGTGCACGTATGTTAGTCTGCATGCATGTATGCGTATACAAATATGTACGTATGCTAAGATGCATACGTGCATGTTGCGCGCGAGCATGCATGTAAGTAAGTATGCATGAATGCACGCATGCATGGATGTATGGGCATGCGAATGCAAGTATGTAGGTATGTAAGTATGTATGCATGCAGGTATGTACATACATACACACATATGTATGCATCTATGTGTGCCGATTGATTTTTGCCCTGAGCTCTTAAGTCCAAATCCCTTTGCGGCAGGGCTGCGGCTCAAGGATTTCACGAAATGCTGGTGTCGAAGCATTCTTGCAATCGTATATCGTGGGAGCGGGTCTCCCATAATCATACACCAAACGTCACTGTCACATGTAAACATATTCAGTTACAACTCAAAACTACACATCTTCCGTTGCAATTGTAAGACCAGTTCGGCGGCTCTTCTTCCCATGTCGAGTGCGGCCAGTGTCGGCAACCAGGCGTTCGCAGATTGTCTGAAGCATTTGGAGTCTGCAATCGGCGATGCCGAAAATGGTGGAATCACCAATGCGCGGAAGCTGGAAGCCTCTCGGCGTCAAAACGGAAGCCGATTCTGAATCGATTTGTTTAACCTCTATCCCTGCCATGGTTACCTAAAGTACGTGAATTATAGAACGAACTGAGGCCTTGTCTCATCTTGAGGACCTTCTCCCTGCAGTCCCCAAGCCGGAGGTGGCAGAGGCGCGGCTGCGCATAGAAGACCTGTGCGAGAGGATCCTGTCGCAAAATGCGACGGACCCCTTGCGGCGCATGGTGGTTTCGGTGCTGAACATCATCTTCGGGCTTTTTGGCGACAGCGGAGCGCTCCCGAATTATGTGGCTCGCTTGCTGAAGCTGACCGGAGATTCCAACAAGAAGGGCAACTCCGATAAGATCAGCGACACAAAAGTGGCAGCGCTGGATATTCTGGGGCAGCTCATGGTTCAGCATGGTCCTGCCTTAGAGAACTTCTCCAATGACCTGGTCATAGTGATAGCCAAGCACACCAAGATGAACGAGGCCAGCGCACGATGCTCGGCTCTTCATGTGCTGTGCAAGATGATGTCATACGGCGACATAAGACATCTGAGCACAGCTGGTAACATTTGGAAGCTCCTCCAGAAGATGATGCCAGACAAGGCACTCACGGTCCGCACGGTGGCAGCACAGGCACTGTCCACCCTGACGACGGTGTGCCCAATCTGCGCTGGTGCAAATGGCGAGGCCATGGCCCTGGCGTGTCTCAAGACCCTGGCGACCGAGGATCCTCCCGGGCTGCTAACCTCGCATTGCTCCGAGAACCGCTTCGCCTTTACGGTGGCTCTCGCGAAGGTCCTCGCCGCCATGGGCTCGCCGGCGGCTGCGGCAGCGCCGGACCGGCCGAAGAAGAAGCCCCCTGTAACAGACTTTGCTTCTGCTGTGGACTTCCTGGAGCAGGCGATTCACAAGGGCCCGGGGGCTGGTGCGGTGGCTGTGGGCTTCCGCTCCTCCGTCTGCCTAGCAGTGGTGCTTCTGGCGGAAGCGCAAGGAGTTTCAGATGCTGCCAGCCTCTCCCTGGTTGTCCGTGCCTTGCTGAATGCTCTAGACATGCCAGGTGGGACTCACAAGGGCTCCATGCGACAACCTCAAGGAAGCTCCGGCCAAAGCGACGAGGAGACTTTGATGCAGGTGGCTAGGCAGATCTCCATGGCTCTCCATCGCTTGCTGCGCCTTGCAGAGAGGGAGGGCTGCTTGAACGACTTTGTGGAGCAAGGGCTTCTTCCTGTGGTGTCCGCCCAGTTCAACGAGACATCTCGGGGCACCGACATGCGCATGCTGGTTGTCCTGGAGACGCTGTGCGGAGCTTGCGTGGCTTCCGGTGAAGCCTTCCGCAGCATCGAGACAAAGGTGACCAAACCACTGCTACATATCGTCGGGAACTACCCGCAGGCCATGGTACAATTGCAGGCCGTCTACTGCCTTCGCTGCATCGGTCGTGGGTCACCCCCTCAGCTCTTCCAGCTGTTAAGCGTGTTACTGAACTTATCCACTGTGCAGAATGCCGAAGTACTGGGCACACCCCTTCGGCGGCGGGATGCGAATGGCCAGATGGTGGCAGGCAACACTGCGGTGGCTGCTGCCGCGGCTCATGCTGATCTTCAGCCGCTCATCCGGGGCCTCTTCGGCCACTGTGCAGCACTGGCCGCCATGAGTAGTGAACTCTACAGCAGTGAGCTTGGGGTGCCGCATGATGTGACTTCGGCAGTTTTGGGCACATCCGGAGCCCTCCTCCAGCCTCATCCCAGCCCAGCAGTCAGTGCACAGCGACGATGCTGTGCCTTCCTGCTCCTCGAGGGCCTGATGTGCTTAGGCTCGGACTGGGTTGGGCAGCGCCTGACAACGCTTTTCGCTCTATGGAAGTCCGCGTTGGGCAAGAAGCCGGTTGACCGTGCCAAGGTGGTCTACCAGGAGCATGTGTCTGCCAGCCAGTCAAAGAAGGATATGTCAACTGACCTTAGTGCCAACATTTGCCGTGACGAGCTGCTCTCGCTTTTGTTTGCCCTGCGCTCCTTGTACGCCTTCACCTGGCACTCGAGGGACACGCTGCTGACCTCGTTGCCCCATCTCCACAAGATCTTGGTGGTGTTCCTCACAAACATTTCGCAGCTGGTAGTGGCCCTGCCGCACCCCAGCTCCAGCAGCTTTCGTGCCAAGTACCCGCGGGAGGCCGGACCCGGTCAGGCAGGAATGAGGCCCATCATCACCATGTCGGCAAACTGCAACATCCCTGAGATTCTCCTCTCGATCAGGGCCACGATGTATCGAACTTTCGCAGCCATGCAGCCTTCCCTGTACTCTTCGCGCTTTGTTCCCTTGCTCAATATGCTCGCGGACGATGTGGCCAGGACTTTGCCTTCCGACTACCCCTTCACCGAGTTGGTTTCTCATTTTCTGCACCGCTCTGATGTTGTCTTGGACTTGGTGGATGTCCACCTCGAGACCTCCCGGGAGTGCGCAAGCACCACCCGCCTGGGGGTGGATCGGCTTCTCTCGGTCTTGCGGAAGGGTGCCTTAGTGACTGAGTCGGTAAGCTTTAAACTATCGGGATCTGTCGGATGATATATAGAAAAAAAATATCTCGATCGCTGTGAACTGGCCCAAGACTTATCTACCTCTACAGATTTTTCGGCTTATGAGCTGGGGCAACGCAGGTGCCGATGCAGGAGGCTTCCGTGAGGATGCCGGGCCATTCGCTGAGGACCAGTGCTCCGATGGCGGGGCTGCGTGCCTCTTCAGCGCGCTCCACCGCGAAAGCCCCGGGGCGCCCGAGTGCCTTCTGACGCCCTGGGATGCCTGGTGCGATTGTCGAGAGCCTCTGGCGCCACAGTGCGTCTCTGCGGAGTGGGACTGGCGGTGTAGCTCGGTGAAGCTCCTGGCCATCATCATGAATGCGGCGGAGGTGGGAGAGAATCCGCGGGCTGCTGTCCTTCAACACTTGCTCAAAGTTCGGCGGGATGCCGCGGAAGAGGGCGGCTCAACAACCTCACCGCAGCCGGAGCTGCACGTATCGTCTTCCGTGGCGGTCTTGGCTTACCTTCGCGAGCATGTGCGGATGCGAGGACTGCAGGCAGCACCGCCTGCCCCGGCGATGGAGCAGGTACTTCAGTCCTAAACCCTGAACCCTGAACCCTGGGCCCTAAACCCCAAGCCAGGTACTTCAGACCTCCCTGGCCGGGCTCAAGGAAAGCAATCCGCTCCTTCGGCGGCTGCACGCCGAGATCCTCGCGCTGCTCTTCTTCGTGCATCACCAGCTGGCAGACTCCCCGATCGTGCCCAACATCCTGCAGCAGCTCTCGGAGAGCCCGGGATCGGACTCCAAGGACATGGCAGAGTAGAATATAGTGGAGTAGAGTATCGCAGCGTGCCGTGGAGTGAAGTGAAGTAGAGTGTAACATAAGCCAGTATAGTATGATATAGTATGGTATAGCATAGAATAGGGTAAAGTATAGTCGGGCATAGTATAGCAGAGTAGAGCAGAGATACAGGAGGAAAAGCTTCGGGAGCGCTCCGCTCTGGCGCTGCTTTGTGGCTGTGTCCTCCGATGCTTCTCCTGGGGCTGGAAAGTCTTGAGCCCCGCGGGAGATCAAAGCGTCGGCGGCTTCCACTGCCCCTACATCATGAACATCGTGCCAGCTTTGTTGAAGCTGGCGAAGGAGACGGCCCAGCCGGTGCGCTTGTGGATGCTTTACTCCTTGCATCTGGGCATGCAGGCTGCCGGAGGTGCCTTTATGCCCTTCATGAAAGACTCCCTGCGCCTGGCCACGGCCCATCTTCTAGCAGATTTCTTCGAGGCGCCACTGGTGCTCTGGGTCGTCTCCGAGCTTACGCACTCCGCCGCCGTGGCCATGTCCAAGAGCGAAGGGGATGTGGATTCCCGGGAGGAGCACCTGCTAGCAGGCATCTGGCGTGTCTTCCGGCACGTGGAGCATCTGGAACCCAGCTGCGGAAATGCTTTCGCCATGATACGGGCAGAGGTTGTCAGCTTGTCGACGGCGCCCTACCTCACAAGGATCGTTCCGCCCAGCAGTCTCTTGGCAATGGCAGCTGGCAAGCTCTCTGACAACGAGACAAACACGAAGGCGTGCTGTGTCCGCACCCACGCTGCGCAGTGCCTATGGCAACTGGCCACGACAAAGGGCTGCGATCTGGGCAGCCTCTTCCGAGACAGGACCAGGCTCTTTCGCCTTCTCGATGCCTCGAAGGGCGCGGAGG